GGAGCAAGCAGCACGCAATGACCTTGAGTCGACCAGAGGAGGGGAGAGCGGCGGAACACAGAGAGGAGCAACATGCGGAGCAAGCAGCACGCAATGACCTTGAGTCGACCAGAGGAGGGGAGAGCGGCGGAACACAGAGAGGAGCAACATGCGGAGCAAGCAGCACGCAATGACCTTGAGTCGACCAGAGGAGGGGAGAGCGGCGGAACACAGAGAGGAGCAACATGCGGAGCAAGCAGCACGCAATGACCTTGAGTCGACCAGAGGAGGGGAGAGCGGCGGAACACAGAGAGGAGCAACATGCGGAGCAAGCAGCACGCAATGACCTTGAGTCGACCAGAGGAGGGGAGAGCGGCGGAACACAGAGAGGAGCAACATGCGGAGCAAGCAGCACGCAATGACCTTGAGTCGACCAGAGGAGGGGAGAGCGGCGGAACACAGAGAGGAGCAACATGCGGAGCAAGCAGCACGCAATGACCTTGAGTCGACCAGAGGAGGGGAGAGCGGCGGAACACAGAGAGGAGCAACATGCGGAGCAAGCAGCACGCAATGACCTTGAGTCGACCAGAGGAGGGGAGAGCGGCGGAACACAGAGAGGAGCAACATGCGGAGCAAGCAGCACGCAATGACCTTGAGTCGACCAGAGGAGGGGAGAGCGGCGGAACACAGAGAGGAGCAACATGCGGAGCAAGCAGCACGCAATGACCTTGAGTCGACCAGAGGAGGGGAGAGCGGCGGAACACAGAGAGGAGCAACATGCGGAGCAAGCAGCACGCAATGACCTTGAGTCGACCAGAGGAGGGGAGAGCGGCGGAACACAGAGAGGAGCAACATGCGGAGCAAGCAGCACGCAATGACCTTGAGTCGACCAGAGGAGGGGAGAGCGGCGGAACACAGAGAGGAGCAACATGCGGAGCAAGCAGCACGCAATGACCTTGAGTCGACCAGAGGAGGGGAGAGCGGCGGAACACAGAGAGGAGCAACATGCGGAGCAAGCAGCACGCAATGACCTTGAGTCGACCAGAGGAGGGGAGAGCGGCGGAACACAGAGAGGAGCAACATGCGGAGCAAGCAGCACGCAATGACCTTGAGTCGACCAGAGGAGGGGAGAGCGGCGGAACACAGAGAGGAGCAACATGCGGAGCAAGCAGCACGCAATGACCTTGAGTCGACCAGAGGAGGGGAGAGCGGCGGAACACAGAGAGGAGCAACATGCGGAGCAAGCAGCACGCAATGACCTTGAGTCGACCAGAGGAGGGGAGAGCGGCGGAACACAGAGAGGAGCAACATGCGGAGCAAGCAGCACGCAATGACCTTGAGTCGACCAGAGGAGGGGAGAGCGGCGGAACACAGAGAGGAGCAACATGCGGAGCAAGCAGCACGCAATGACCTTGAGTCGACCAGAGGAGGGGAGAGCGGCGGAACACAGAGAGGAGCAACATGCGGAGCAAGCAGCACGCAATGACCTTGAGTCGACCAGAGGAGGGGAGAGCGGCGGAACACAGAGAGGAGCAACATGCGGAGCAAGCAGCACGCAATGACCTTGAGTCGACCAGAGGAGGGGAGAGCGGCGGAACACAGAGAGGAGCAACATGCGGAGCAAGCAGCACGCAATGACCTTGAGTCGACCAGAGGAGGGGAGAGCGGCGGAACACAGAGAGGAGCAACATGCGGAGCAAGCAGCACGCAATGACCTTGAGTCGACCAGAGGAGGGGAGAGCGGCGGAACACAGAGAGGAGCAACATGCGGAGCAAGCAGCACGCAATGACCTTGAGTCGACCAGAGGAGGGGAGAGCGGCGGAACACAGAGAGGAGCAACATGCGGAGCAAGCAGCACGCAATGACCTTGAGTCGACCAGAGGAGGGGAGAGCGGCGGAACACAGAGAGGAGCAACATGCGGAGCAAGCAGCACGCAATGACCTTGAGTCGACCAGAGGAGGGGAGAGCGGCGGAACACAGAGAGGAGCAACATGCGGAGCAAGCAGCACGCAATGACCTTGAGTCGACCAGAGGAGGGGAGAGCGGCGGAACACAGAGAGGAGCAACATGCGGAGCAAGCAGCACGCAATGACCTTGAGTCGACCAGAGGAGGGGAGAGCGGCGGAACACAGAGAGGAGCAACATGCGGAGCAAGCAGCACGCAATGACCTTGAGTCGACCAGAGGAGGGGAGAGCGGCGGAACACAGAGAGGAGCAACATGCGGAGCAAGCAGCACGCAATGACCTTGAGTCGACCAGAGGAGGGGAGAGCGGCGGAACACAGAGAGGAGCAACATGCGGAGCAAGCAGCACGCAATGACCTTGAGTCGACCAGAGGAGGGGAGAGCGGCGGAACACAGAGAGGAGCAACATGCGGAGCAAGCAGCACGCAATGACCTTGAGTCGACCAGAGGAGGGGAGAGCGGCGGAACACAGAGAGGAGCAACATGCGGAGCAAGCAGCACGCAATGACCTTGAGTCGACCAGAGGAGGGGAGAGCGGCGGAACACAGAGAGGAGCAACATGCGGAGCAAGCAGCACGCAATGACCTTGAGTCGACCAGAGGAGGGGAGAGCGGCGGAACACAGAGAGGAGCAACATGCGGAGCAAGCAGCACGCAATGACCTTGAGTCGACCAGAGGAGGGGAGAGCGGCGGAACACAGAGAGGAGCAACATGCGGAGCAAGCAGCACGCAATGACCTTGAGTCGACCAGAGGAGGGGAGAGCGGCGGAACACAGAGAGGAGCAACATGCGGAGCAAGCGAAAGAGCTGGAACAAGCGAAAGAGCTGGAGGCGCCTCAAAACTAGACCCTTCGGGGTGGTTGAGTTGATGCATGCTGCTCAAGCCTCGTTAGGAGGCGCCTCAAAACTAGACCCTTCGGGGTGGTTGAGTTGATGCATGCTGCTCAAGCCTCGTTAGGAGGCGCCTCAAAACTAGACCCTTCGGGGTGGTTGAGTTGATGCATGCTGCTCAAGCCTCGTTAGGAGGCGCCTCAAAACTAGACCCTTCGGGGTGGTTGAGTTGATGCATGCTGCTCAAGCCTCGTTAGGAGGCGCCTCAAAACTAGACCCTTCGGGGTGGTTGAGTTGATGCATGCTGCTCAAGCCTCGTTAGGAGGCGCCTCAAAACTAGACCCTTCGGGGTGGTTGAGTTGATGCATGCTGCTCAAGCCTCGTTAGGAGGCGCCTCAAAACTAGACCCTTCGGGGTGGTTGAGTTGATGCATGCTGCTCAAGCCTCGTTAGGAGGCGCCTCAAAACTAGACCCTTCGGGGTGGTTGAGTTGATGCATGCTGCTCAAGCCTCGTTAGGAGGCGCCTCAAAACTAGACCCTTCGGGGTGGTTGAGTTGATGCATGCTGCTCAAGCCTCGTTAGGAGGCGCCTCAAAACTAGACCCTTCGGGGTGGTTGAGTTGATGCATGCTGCTCAAGCCTCGTTAGGAGGCGCCTCAAAACTAGACCCTTCGGGGTGGTTGAGTTGATGCATGCTGCTCAAGCCTCGTTAGGAGGCGCCTCAAAACTAGACCCTTCGGGGTGGTTGAGTTGATGCATGCTGCTCAAGCCTCGTTAGGAGGCGCCTCAAAACTAGACCCTTCGGGGTGGTTGAGTTGATGCATGCTGCTCAAGCCTCGTTAGGAGGCGCCTCAAAACTAGACCCTTCGGGGTGGTTGAGTTGATGCATGCTGCTCAAGCCTCGTTAGGAGGCGCCTCAAAACTAGACCCTTCGGGGTGGTTGAGTTGATGCATGCTGCTCAAGCCTCGTTAGGAGGCGCCTCAAAACTAGACCCTTCGGGGTGGTTGAGTTGATGCATGCTGCTCAAGCCTCGTTAGGAGGCGCCTCAAAACTAGACCCTTCGGGGTGGTTGAGTTGATGCATGCTGCTCAAGCCTCGTTAGGAGGCGCCTCAAAACTAGACCCTTCGGGGTGGTTGAGTTGATGCATGCTGCTCAAGCCTCGTTAGGAGGCGCCTCAAAACTAGACCCTTCGGGGTGGTTGAGTTGATGCATGCTGCTCAAGCCTCGTTAGGAGGCGCCTCAAAACTAGACCCTTCGGGGTGGTTGAGTTGATGCATGCTGCTCAAGCCTCGTTAGGAGGCGCCTCAAAACTAGACCCTTCGGGGTGGTTGAGTTGATGCATGCTGCTCAAGCCTCGTTAGGAGGCGCCTCAAAACTAGACCCTTCGGGGTGGTTGAGTTGATGCATGCTGCTCAAGCCTCGTTAGGAGGCGCCTCAAAACTAGACCCTTCGGGGTGGTTGAGTTGATGCATGCGGCTCTAACCTCTCCGCTACTAAACTTGTCACTAAGGGAAAGGGAGAGTGAGAGCCAGGGTGATTACGATAGTGAAGGGAGGGACGAAGACGGAAGGAGGGCTGACTGGCAGTGCGGAAGAGGAAGAGCGAAACGTTTATGAGACGTCTCAAAAACACCCTCTTTACAAGGGAGGGACGACGACGGAAGGAGGACTGCATGGCAGTGCGGAAGAGGAAGAGCTAAACGGGTAGGACAGTGAGCAAGGGAAGAATCACACAGTGAAGGAAGAGCTATTCAGTGATAAAGAGTTACTTTAGGGAGCTATCAAATGTAACCTAGAAGGAAGGGAGACCAGCAGTGATTCCAAGAATGTGACACTAGTGAGAATGAGAAGACACTAGTGAGAATGAGAGGACACTGAGAAGACACTAGTGAGAATGAGAGGACACTGAGAAGACACTAGTGAGAATGAGAAGACCCTGAGAAGACACTAGTGAGAATGAGAAGACCCTGAGAAGACACTAGTGAGAATGAGAAGACACTGAGAAGACACTAGTGAGAATGAGAGGACACTGAGAAGACACTAGTGAGAATGAGAGGACACTCATCCAGACATCTGCTGATGGAGGCAATGGGATATTCGAGAATCGAAATCAAGATTTGAAGTAAGGGGTTGGGTGGTGTGTTGAATGCGAATGAAGCGTACAGCATTCTGAGTGACTAAACGAGGGAGGTAATTTCTAAAAGGGACCGAATCGAAAGCATACAGCATTCTGAGGGATTTGAGGGAGCCCATGGCTGCCGGCAGGCTGCCTGATATGGGGTTGTATGAGAGGTCCCTGGTTGGATGGAAATGCGAGAACGCGTTTTTGAAGAGGCGGGAGGGATGAGGAAGGAGGGGGTTGGAAAGGGAAAGGGAGAAATTGAATACGGCATACCACCACTGGCACACGGCCTGAAACGAAGTTGTTTGACAGGACCCTGGTTGGGAGGGGAGAGGGTAGGAGGGGAGAGGGTAGGGGGGAGAGGGTAGGAGGAGAGAGGGTAGGAGGGGAGAGGGTAGGAGGAGAGAGGGTAGGAGGAGAGAGGGTAGGAGGAGAGAGGGTAGGAGGAGAGAGGGTAGGAGGAGAGACAGCTCCTCTCTGAGTGAGGCGCCTGGCATGGGGTTGCATGACAGGTCTGCTGCGTGGGCAGATGGGATGGTTATGAGTCGACTCAAGTCGGCTCAAAACCCGTCCCAAAATCATGGAGGCAGGCAGTTCTGGCTGCATCGCATCACATACAAGGCGAGTAGTTTCTCAACGAGCCGTTAATTAGAGTTATATTAACCGTAAGTGGATTGGTGGGTTTTATAGAAATGGATGGAGATAGGCAGTTATGGTGGCTGCATCGCATCATGCGATGAGCAAGGTGGCGAACACCTGTTCGGTTCGCCTCGAACGTGTTCGAGGCGAACCGAACAGGTTTTGTTTTTTCAGCTTAAATCGTTCGCCCGAACGTGTTCGAGGTTCGCCCGAACACGTTCGTGTTCGTGGCGCTACTGCAGAACGCCCCGTGGCGAACACGAACGTGTTCGAGGTTCGCCCGAACACGCCTCCACAGGCAAACAGCAAACACCTGTTTTTGCCTAAACTGTTCGCCGAACCGAACAGTGTTCGGTTCGGCAAAAGAGGGTGTTCGAGAAGGGGCGAACACGAACATGTTCGTGTTCGCCCTTTGCTCATCCCTAATCGCATGGCATGACATACAAGGCGACGAGTTTCTTGAGAGAGCCAATGGCGGATGGGATAGTACCCGTGATGTTGTTGGTTCCCAGGTACCTGCGGCATCATCATCACATCACATCACATCACATCACATCACATCACATCACATCACATCACATCACATCACATCACATCACATCACATCACATCACGACACATCACATCACGTCACATCATGCCACGCCACGCCACGCCACGCCACGTCACGTCACGTCACGTCACATCACATCACGTCACGCCACGCCACGCCACGCCACATCACGTCACGTCACGTCACATCACATCACATCACATCACATCACATCACATCACATCACATCACATCACATCACATCAAATCGCATCGCATACAAGAAGCGTGGATGCACAAGCAGCACCTCAGATCAGATCAGAGGCTTGAGATGTCTCAGAAGTCGTCTATTCAAACGAAAACAAAGGAACCCATTTCCTCAACACAGGACAGGGGAGCTTACAGTAGCACGAGGCTAGCGAGGCCTGAGATGGCCCGAGGCACAGCCTTTGAGACAACTCAAAGTATTTTTCTTCCAGTCAAAATAGGACAAAGGGACTCGTTCCCTGGACTCAACACACCACAGGGGAGCTTACAGCAGCACGAGGTTAGAGAGGCTTGAGATGGCCCGAGGCACCGACCCGCTGATTTTGTTGTCTGTAAGGGACCTGCACACCCACAGTGGAGAGTGGGAGGGACACCACAGAAGCACAAGGTTGAGAATGTGCGCAAATGTGGCTTTAAGGTTGAAATAGACCGAGAGGCACAGAACCACTGATCTTGTTATCTGTAAGGGACCTGCACACTCAGAGTGGAGAGTGGGAGGGGCACCAAAGAAGCACAAGGTTGAGAGAATGTGGGCAAATGTGGCTTTAAGGTTGAAATAGACCGAGAGAAGCAGACCCACTGATTTTGTTGTCTGTAAGGGACCTGAACACTCCGAGTGGAGAGTGGGAGGAAGGGACATCACAGAACCACAAGGTTGACTGAGGAGAGAGAGGAAGTCTGAGATAGACTGAGGGACAGGCCCACTGGTGTTGACATGACACTGAGGGACCTAAGCATTAAGAGTGGATGCGGCATAAGCTCTTTTCAGTGCGAATCGGAGGGTGGGACGTCAGTTGCTATATCTTGTCCTCAAACCAAGCGTCTCCTTCAAAATATTGGAGATTCTACCTGGAATTACTGGGTCTGAAGTCGACCAGGAAAGCTTACCCTGACCATATCAGAGGTTGCCAGTCTCCACACACCAAGAGAGAGCACACAGGCAACGTACAGTTCAGTTAGCCTCTTGAGTTTGGCGAGCGAGGTGGGCAGGTTTGCGTTGAGCAGATTGAATTCAAGATTGCTGCCGCAAACAAGGGAGAGAGGGGGGGTGGGGAGTGTAGAATTTTGAGTCGACTCAGAAGTCCGCCCGAGTCTGGAGAGCGAGGTGGGCAGACTTGCGTTGAGCAGATTGAATTCGAGATTGCTGCCGCAACGGGGGGTGGTTGGCGGGAAAATGGTTCGCGAGGGAGGATGAAAAGAAAAGGTGAGGTGAGGAGGGTGTGGGAGGAAGGGGAAAACTGAAGCGCCTGTAAACGCAAAGGACAGGATAGATACATTGTTCACTCTCCAGGAAGAACAAGAAGAATTTACTACAACAGAACACATTGACCAGGTGAGGACGTTTGAGGCGCCTCTTGAGGACTTATGGGGCGCCTCAAAAGAACACATTGACCAGGTGAGGACTTTTGAGGCGCCTCAAAAGAACACATTGACCAGGTGAGGGGAGTTACAGCAAAGCGGAGTCTCAGGGAATGATGTGGAGTGAAGCGAAGCGAGGTGCGGACAGTTGAAACCAGAGTAAAGCCAAGGGGCAGGATGGGAGAACTAAGGATTTCTATATATGCTTTTCGTAATCAGATTGCGCTGCACCGATGAGTAGGCAAACGCAAGGGCAAACCCGTACAAGCTCGCTGCAGACAGCTTCAAACATGCAAAGAACCCAATCGAACATGTTCGGTTCGGTTCAGGTCGAACACTTTTGGTATAAATGGATGTGCGTGCAGTTAAATTGAGTATAACATCCAAAGGTGCGTGCCGAACATGTGCGTGCACAACCCAAACATGTTCAAGTTCGGTTCAATTCAAGTTGCACATTTGTCGTTAGTAAAATGCTCAGAATACATTAGGTGCGGTCCGGTACAAAGTACCACGCGGAACGTGGAGGGGAGTGGACCAGACGAGCCATTAAGGGTACATCATGTACGTAGTACAACAGTCAGATTTGAAAACTCTCACAACGGGGTATTGCATACATTTGGCTCAGCTGGGGCATGGCTGTGAGGGGGAGGAGAGAGCCGCAGATGCAGTAGGGAGGTTCAAAGGGCGAGAAGGGATGCAGAGGGGTTCATTTACAGCAGGCACTGGAATGAGTGTACATTTTTCTCAGCTGTGGCATGGCTGTGAGGGGGGTTAGGGAGCCGGAGATTCGGTTGCGCGATAGATCACTGCAGACGTGAGGAGACGGGGGGAGGGGAGGGGGGAAGAGTGGGGGAGAGAGGGGGGTGCGAGTCTGTGAGGGGGGAAAGGGAGCTGGAGATCTGGTTGTGCAATTGTTCACTGCAGGCGTTGATGAGACGTCTCAGAAACACCCTCTCTACATCTGGTTGTGCAATTGTTCACTGCAGGCGTTAATGAGACGTCTCAGAAACACCCTCTCTACATCTGGTTGTGCAATTGTTCACTGCAGGCGTTAATGAGACGTCTCAGAAACACCCTCTCTACATCTGGTTGTGCAATTGTTCACTGCAGGCGTTGATGAGACGTCTCAGAAACACCCTCTCTACATCTGGTTGTGCAATTGTTCACTGCAGGCGTTAATGAGACGTCTCAGAAACACCCTCTCTACATCTGGTTGTGCAATTGTTCACTGCAGGCGTTAATGAGACGTCTCAGAAACACCCTCTCTACATCTGGTTGTGCAATTGTTCACTGCAGGCGTTGATGAGACGTCTCAGAAACACCCTCTCTACATCTGGTTGTGCAATTGTTCACTGCAGGCGTTAATGAGACGTCTCAGAAACACCCTCTCTCCATCTGGTTGTGCAATTGTTCACTGCAGGCATTAATGAGACGTCTCAGAAACACCCTCTCTACATCTGGTTGTGCAATTGTTCACTGCAGGCGTTAATGAGACGTCTCAGAAACACCCTCTCTACATCTGGTTGTGCAATTGTCCACTGCAGGCGTTAATGAGACGTCTCAGAAACACCCTCTCTACATCTGGTTGTGCAATTGTTCACTGCAGGCGTTAATGAGACGTCTCAGAAACACCCTCTCTACATCTGGTTGTGCAATTGTTCACTGCAGGCGTGCAGCGGGAAGGGGAGAGGGGAGAGCGGAGAGCTTCAAAGTATTCTTGATTCTTGTGAAGTCGGCGACAGTGCGAACGGAGGGGCTACGCACAGTATCTTGGATCAAGTGCAGTGTCTTCAAAGTGTAAAGAAACAAATACCCTCTAAACTAATAAGGGCAATTTTGCTTCTCCTTGAATGTTTCAGATGCTCGATCGATTGAGTGCAACCTATTGTTGGCACGTTAACCAGCACACGAACCAACATGCATGTACACAAATGGAATCAGGAAATAGGGAAGAAGAAAGAAAGAAAGAAAGGAAAAAAAAAAAAAAAAAAAAAACGCAAGCCTTTACGCACAGTGTAACGAGCTTCTGGAGCTTGGAGATTTTAGCGGGGATGGAGGAGGAGAATTTGTTGAAACCGAGCGACCTGTGGGAGCAGGTGGGGGAGGGGAGACGGGGAAGAAGGAGTGGGGGGGAGGGGAGGAGGTGGGGGGGGAGAGATGGGGAAGAAGGACGGGGAGGAGGTGGTGGAGGGGAGGTGGGGAAGAACGGGGGGAGGGAGGAGGGCGGGAATGAAGGAGAAGTGGTTGGATTGGAACCGAGAGGTCTGAGGAAAGAACGGGGAAGACGAGGCGGGGGGGGAAGGGGGGGGGGGGGGTTTAAGCATGTTTTTGAGACGTCTCTGAACATGTTTTTTTACACGATGAATGAGGTGGATGTTGCGAATGTTGAGAAACATGTAGATGGGGGATGGGCAAAACATTGTCGGATGAAGAGAGGAATGGGAAACATGGATTACGGTAGCAGACCAAAAATTTAGTGGTGCAATGTGGAGGTATAGGGGAATGAGTGAGGGCGTACAGGTGTGTGAGAGCAGTGAGTGAGGAGAGCAAGGGAGCAATGTCACCCTCCAAATTGTTGCCATTTAGAATCCTGTGCAACCAAGGAGGGATGGCGGGCAGGGCAGGGCAGGGCAGGGCAATGGGCAATAGGCGAGGAGAGGAGAGCAAGGGAGGAAGCAATGTCACCTTCCAGGTAGTTGCCATTTAGGGCCCTGTGCGACCCAGGAGGGATAGCGGGCAGGGCAATGTGTGCGAACGCGGAAATGGCCACAGGATGTCATTTACGAGCAAGGAGAGAAGAGAAAGGGAAGTTGGCACTCTCCGAATGGCAACACATGCACACACGCACACATGCACACATAGAATAGAATGGTAGCTAGGGATGAGCAAGGGGCGAACACGAACGTGTTAGTGTTCGCCCCTACACGAACACATCCGTTCGCCGAACCGAACACTGTTCGGTTCGGCGAACACTTTAAGCAAAACCAGATGTTCGGTGTTCGCCTGTGAAGGCGTGTTCGGGCGAACCTCGAACACGTTTGTCACGAACACTTTTAAGCTAAAAAAAACAACCTGTTCGGTTCGCCTCGTCGTTTCTTTGCTCAACCCTAGGTAGCACCACATATCAACTCCCCAGCTTCTTAAGTCAGCATACCTGATGCATGCATACACACATACTTAGTGTTACCACATACAGACTCCACAGTTTCTTAAGTCAGCCGAAGGAGAAAGATATGGCAACACAAGCACATATGCACGCACACACCCTCTCTCCCCCCACCAATCCACCATCCCCCTCTCCTCCTTCCCCTCTCCTTCAGACACACACACGAAAACCGCACAGAATGCATGCATGCACGGATGGAATAGTGTTACCACATACAGACTCTACGGGTTCTTAAGTCAGCCGAAGGAGAAAGAGATGGCAACACAAGCGCATATGCACGCACACACACACTCGAACGATCCTTGCATTAATCAGGTGGGTGTTACACTCTCTCTCTCCCCCCACCAATCCACCATCTCCCTCTCCTCCTTCCCCTCTCCTTCAGACACACACACAAGAACCGCACTCGAATGCATGCATGCACGGATGGAATAGTGTTACTACCACATAACATACAAACGCTGCCTTTTCTTGAGTCGGGTGAAGGATGCAGGGATGGTGCCGCCACTGACAGCTGAGATAAGGTTACTGCGGTGTGGTAAAGGGAGGGAAGGCGGGATAAATAAAGGGAACGTGGGATGAAGGGAGGGAAGGTGGGATGAAGGGAAGGAAGGTGGGATGAATGGAGCAAATGTAGGATGAGGGGAGGGACGGAGGGGAAGAGACAGGCATGTTCCTAAGTGAAGGAAGTGAGAAAGGACGGAAGGTTGACTGACAAAAAGGTGAAGGAAATATGAAGTGAGGAAGGGAGGAAGGGAGAATGACAAGCGAGCGAGAGAAGTGAGAAGAGTGACGACGAGGAAAGGAGGTTGAATGACAGGCGGGTGAGGGAAGAGCAAGGGAGGGAGAAAGGGTTGGAGCAAGGGAGGGAGCATGACTGACAGGCGGGTGAGCGAAGTGAGAGCGCCCAGGACGGAAGGCAGGCTGGGCATGGCATTCACCCCTTCCATGCTCCTGCCGACGTGGCCGGAGGAGGGGGGAGGGGGGTAGCAGGGGGAAGGCCGGCAGGGGAGGGTGGCAGGGGAAGGGTGGCGGGGAAAAGGGGGAGGGAGGGTGCGATAAGCGAATGGAGTGGAGTGGAGTGGAGTGGAGTGGAGTGGAGTGGAGTGGAGAGGAGTGGAGCTGAGTAGAGCTGAGTGGACTATGAGTGACAAAGGAGACGCAATGTGTTTTGAGATGGCTCAGGAATCATCCTCCCAGCAAACTTCCCTACAACCCTCCCCTCCCTGGCCCAGCAGTGCTCACAGTGTTTCCAGGCGCGAGAGTTGAACAATGTCAGATGGAATGGCATCCATTTGGGGCAGCAACCTAGAGGGAAAAGGTGGGGCAAGGTGGGGCAAGGTGGGACGAGGCGAGGCAAGAGGGGTCAGTTAGTCAAAAGGTCTTGTTCGCAGCACTAGTCAAAAGGTCTTGTTCGCAGCACTAGTCAAAAGGTCTTGTTCGCAGCACTAGTCAAAAGGTCTTGTTCGCAGCACTAGTCAAAAGGTCTTGTTCGCAGCACTACTAGAATCCAAGGAGGGAGAAGGCGCTTTGCTTATGAGGAACCATCTCCTTCTAGTATGCGTGTTTCACTGATGCTCAACAGTTATGGGCAGTCACCACCACCGCCGCGTGACGAGTCAATTCCAACCAACTTGAATCCCCACCCCACCCACCCCACACTCGCGCTCAGTCACATCCCCACAGTCACCACAACTCACACGCCGGTCACACGGCCCTGCGCGTCGCATGCGATCATGAGGAGGAATCCCCCACAGACCAGATCGTCTTCGGTCACTCCAATGTTCGATGCGCTCACCACCTTCTCCAGCGCGGATCCTGCAGATAGGAGGGGAGGTTGGGGGGGGGAGGGGGGGGAATGTGGGGAGCGCGTCATGGGGAGGAATCCCCTGCACACCGGATCGTTTTTGGTCATTTCCGATGTTCGATGCGCTCACCACCTTCTCCAGCGCGGATCCTGCGGATAGGAGGGGATTTGGGGGGGGGGGGGGGGGGGGGGGGGGGGGGGGGGGGGGGGGGGGGGGGGGGGGGGGGATGTGGGTAGCGCGTCATGGGGAGGAATCCCCTGCACACCGGATCGTCTTTGGTCATTTCCGATATTCGATGCGCTCACCACCTTCTCCAGCGCGGATCCTGGCGTCGGGGGAGGTGGGAGTTGGGAGGTGGGAGGTGGGGGAGAACTGTTACACCTAAAGATGTTGCAGAGTATTTTTGAGAATTCTCAAAAATACCCAAAAGAAGGAATTTCCCGCACACCGCATCGACTGCACTCACTCCGATGTTGGATGCTGCGGATAGGAGGGTATGTGTGAGGAAAGGAGGGGAGCAGAAGGGAATTCGGGAATTCTTGCTTGCGCAAAATTGTAATTCTTGCTGAACCAATGCCTACTCCATAATTTACGGGGGAGGAGGAGGCGCGGCACGCGCAGAGAGGGGATGGGGGGAATGGTGGGTGGGGGGGGGATCTGGGGAAAGGGAGGGGGGAGGAGGGGGACGGGGAACGGCGAAGAAAGGACTTTTGAGAATTCTCAAAAGTGATTCCGCACGCGCGACCCTGTCCAGCGCCGGATCGCGGCAGTTTCTAGAATCGGGGGCGGAGGAGGGGGAGAGGGGGGGAGAGGGGGGAGGAGGAGACGGGAGGGGGTGGTGAGGGACTTGAGCGGGACCCCGCGAGCCGCGAGCCGCGAGCCGAGCTCAAGGTCCGCAGGACCGTACGGGTGGCCGCCAGCTGACATTTGAGTCGACTGAGACGGCCCAAGGGTCAGCGGAGGCCCCAAGGCAGCTCCTTTTGACGGACAGGCGGCGAACACGTCGGATAATGACTCGGACGTGACGTGACGTGACGTGACAGCTTTTGCGGCGCTCAAAACTCGGACGCGACGGGATGATGAATTTTAACGGGCGCCGCTGCCGCCGCCGCCGGTTCTGGCGGTGCGGGTTCTGGCGCGGCGCGATTGGCGGGAGCAAGAGTTTTTAACAAAATCTCTGGAAGGGTTTGAATTGGAGGGAGCAGGAATTGTATGTAAGCGGACATTGAAACGTAGGTAGTAGTGAACCGCGTTGTATGGAGGATAATCTGAAAACCCGAGATTTGAGAAATCTCGAAGGAAAAATGTACCCTGGTACGGCCACATGGTCGCACGGCCGTGCAGAAACTGCGAAAAAACTGAACGTGCGACGCTACGCTAAAAGCACAAATAAGGAACCAGTGACGGTAGAAACTAGGGTGATGCTCACGCTGTAATGCCCAGGGCTATTATAATGGCGGTTACAAGGCTTTTATAATATTCCAATACAAAATAGTAGCTTTAACTAGCCTTAATAGCCTTGGAGATGAAGATCTTCTTGATGCCTTTGATGAAAAGCACTTGGAGTAGTAGTGTAGGGAGACTTGTGAGAGAGCCCAAAAGGACTTAGAGAAACAATCCCATTTCCAATTGTTTTGTTGGAGTGGGAGGTTCAGAATCAGCTTGCTTAGCTCAGACCCCCTCAATACACCCCTTGGGGAACTATCCCAACCATGGTTTCCATGGTGGGATGGTTCCTAGGCTTGGAGCCTATGTGGCAATTGTGTTGGGTTGGAAAATCCAACTTAGAACCATTCAATGGTTGTGTTTAGGATAGAGTAGATTGTAACACTTGTTTGGCAGTTTCTGATTGGTTGGAATTCCAACCTTCAACATTCTCTTGGTTGAGTTGGAAATGTTCCAAACCTCCAAAGTTGAGGCTTGGCAAACCCAAACCAAGTTTCATCCCAACCAACTCAACCATCTTCTCCAACTCTTCCTTTGTCGAGAGAAGTTCTCAACAATTGACTTAGAGAGAGATCGATGGTTGTTAGCTCGGTAGTTAGGGTAATACGTTACACACGCACTCTGGGAGGAATTTAACACCGCATCTGCCGCTGCAGCTCCTCGAACCGCACAGAACAGCGGGAATACGAGCCAAATTAGGGTTGTCACGAGCGCAACAGGCGGAGTCGTAGGTTGCGGCTTCATCTCGTATTAGCTGCTCTCCCGTCTGCTGCTGTTAGTTACGACTACCGTAGCTGGCGACACTGTCAGTCCACTGAAAGCATTTCTCTTCGTGTGGGGCTTTCAATTTCGAGCCCTGCAATCGAGAATAACTGCGATTCGCGATCCGCGAGGATGTTTGCAGAGGGGGTCTCATGTTTCGACTAACAAAATCCTGCAGCATGATGCGGCCGAAAAAAGGCGGTGTGACGGTGTCGTTACGAGTCGCGACGCAATAAACAGGTGTCGGCTGTAACCTGTGCAGTGGCTGACTGTGGTGCTGGACTGCTAATGCTAACTACTTCTGACATCGGGGCCGGGATGTATGCATTGTCAAACCTAGCGAGAAAGAAAGGCTGATGGAACTTAGTGGATTAAGGGATGTGTACAGTATTCCTCTAACTACTGTACAGTAGAAGCTGACGAGTGGAGGATAGCGGATGTTGCACGGTGCTGCAGTGCAATGGGTATGCGGCGCAAGCCACCTCGCCTCAACTGTCACCGCAATTGTCAACGCCTGCCAATGCATGGTTTGATGCTCTGTCAGCCATGTGTACAGTACATTGTCGTAACCACCGCTATTTTCAAGGGGAAACCCAACCCACCAATCTCGCGTTTCAAAGTTACCCTGCACGTTTTCGACTATTTCAGTTCGACACTTATTTGACTGGGACTATGAATGACGCCTAATGCTCGAAGTTTAAACTCATTATGCGAATTTGAATCCATAGCGCAATTCTACAGTACTCTCTTCGGGGATCTGGAACAGACTCTCGCTAAAATTTAATGATGCCCCACACAACCCTCGGTCAAAGATTTAGAAAGGGTGCATACCCCACTTGTGCAAGTGGGGTTAAAAATAGACCGAAAGAAAATAGCGGTGGTTAGGTGTATAATGGCAAGTGTACCGACTGAACCAGCAGCGGGCGCATGGTACCCCGAGTCCTCGCCAATTTCACGCCCCGTCAGTTATTCCTTAAAACCAGACTGACCTTTTTTTGCTATAGGTATCAGTCACCCACGAACTAGAGGCTATCCGAGGCATTGTAAGTTTCGATGTTGCCCCATCAGACGTTGAGACCGCAACGCAAAGTCTGAATCTTCTGCTGCGACCATGTATTTTTTTATTTTATTTTTTCCGCTGACTCATGTGCGCAGTCCCAGTCATTGCTTTCCTTAAAACCAAATTATTCGAAACAAGCCTCAAATTTGGGGAAATTAAAAACGAATACACAGGGGGGTGAAATTGGCCCTAGTGAAATTGGCAAGGACTGTGTGTATGGCCAACAGCCACATGATTTTTCCCGAGTGTGGTGGCGGAGGGCATGGAATGGAAAAGTCGAGATGTCACGACGACAGACCCCCCACTGCAAAATATCGTGAGGTGGGCGGAACAGAGCCCGAATGTTGTTCAGAGCGCAAGCGTCGAGGAAGTCCTGTCGTGGTTGATGCTTTTGCCATGACGAAGCTGCCAGTGGGTCGGAGGGGAAGAGAGTACACATGATGCTCACCCCCTGCATGCGAAATTGCCTTGTACCGGATGGAAACATTGCACCCGTGGGTTTTGTGCCGTGAGGTTGCACCCACGGTACAAGCACGTCGACCAATACGAACCACAGAAACTGAAGTGTGACTGAAAAGACTGCAGTCAAACAGTCAACGGTGAGTTACAAAAGTTTTTTATAAGCCCTTTTTGCATGACGCGAATTGACCATTATATCATTTGATTGTTGCCTCTGTAAACTCTTGCCCTTTACGTTAGCTTGCAGGCAAGCGCTCGCTAGAGGGAGAATTACCTCTGATACCTCCCTCCCTGTAGCTTGTTTAATTCACCATATCGTATGCCTACTCAAATCCAAGATTGACTGGTGGTTGATATGCAAATGACATTGTGTAATTGGGTTATTTATTACTGCGTGTGCAAAACATAATGTCAAGGTATCAATTACAAAGAGAATAGTGATTATATAATTGAAACTGCTATTGATCGCGTATATTCACTGCAAAATGCGGACTCTGCATTAAACTGCATCGGTCCCTAACAAGGACCGAGTATATTTCGACAGTCACATCACGTTTTTCACTACAGACAAAACGCGCGCGAGATAAAAGTACCCGAATCTGTACAGTAGATTTGAGAGTTTCGACTTTTTGGCGGGCGTTTCAACGAGTGACCAAACGTGATAACCCTGCGGGGCGAGGAGTGATCAAGCGTGATAACGCTGTGATCATGCGTGATAGCGAAGTACTGTACTGTGACTGTCCGTGATAACCCCGTGACCAAACGTGATAATACGGCCATAATTGTGACAGCGCGTATAATTTCCCAGAAAGTTTTGCTGGCTGCAACCTTTCATATACGTAACGTTTGTATTTCTATATTTGTCGCGAACAGTTTCCGAGGGCGGAGAAGCCGCCCCAAAACTTTTGAGCATCATAAAACTGAACTGTACACTTCAACCATGCCCTTGGCCAACCATGCCTACTCAAATTAAAGATTTACGTATGTCTGATATACAAATTACACTTTGTACTTGAATTATTTATTACTGGGTGTGCAAGAAAAAATGTCAAGGTATCATTCACAATTGATTAATGGTAAAATCGCAACTGCTTTTGATGGCGGTGATTCACTGTAAAATGCAGATTCTGGATTATCCTGCATCAGTTCCTAACAAGGTCCGAGTGTATTTTAGCTGTCACATCACGTTTTTCGCGAGAGACAAAACGCGCGCGAGATAATTTTACTCAAATCTGTACAGTAGCTTCTGGAGTTTCGTTTTTTTGGCGGGCGTTTCAACGAGTGACCAAACGTGATAACCCTGCGGGGCGAGGTGTGACCAAGCGTGATAGCGCTGTGATCACGCGTGATAGCGAGGTACTGTACTGTGACTGTCCGTGATGACCCCGTGACCAGACGTGATAATACGGCAATAATTGTGACTGCGCGTATAATTTCCCTTGGCAACATGGAACGAAGGTGGAGTCTGCCATGCCAAATCTCTCATGCAACAGGCCTGCCTCCCCAACCTGAGATCTTCAACGTCTTTTCGCACCACCGCAAGTTCCAAAAAAGGATACGGTGGATAACGATGATCTAGTTCGATTGCCCCACAAAGCCACCCAGGAGAATAGTTTGTTTAAAGCGACGGTGCACATTTGCCACCCAAAACCCAGAACCCTGGCGAACTGTTACTGCGGATGGAAAGTGTCCGCACGAAATCCTTGTTTTCGCCAGCCAGCACTTTCGCGCTGGCAAGCCTGGTTAAAAAAAAAAACTTCTGAACCCAACACTGCCAAAAGTTGCCCGTCGCTTTAAGCGCGTTCCTGTAAGGTCCATTTTGATTTAACAAGGTTTCAGTTCGGTGAACAGGCGCTGGATTCTGAACGTTACAACGCGCACCACATCACCCCTCCCTCCTTGCCCAATCACTCTCTCCACCGTTGTTCCGGTTTAGAAGCCTTCGCTAATAGGTGCGAATTCCGAATCAAGTAGAATTCTGACCCCCACAGTTCATACTGTCAGCTGAGAAAGCTCTGGGAATATAGGAAAGCTTTTTTTTTTTTTTTTTTTTTTTTTTTTTTTTTTTTTCATGTGGGGTTTTCGAGCCCTGCGGTCAAGAATAACCGAGATTCGATCCACGGGGCTGTTTACAGAGAGCCGCATGTTTCAACGACAAGCCACAGAAACAAATCTGCGGTTTAGGATGCGGCGTGCTAAGGCAGTGAGATGTTGATTGCTTGAATATAAAAATCACATGGAAATTTGAACTCTTCTACTGGAACTTCACGATATGAATGACCAAACATATTATTCATGAATGTGGAATTTTGTGCTAATGCAAGTGCCTTCTCCCGTGAACACTCCTTTGGCTAGCCAATCCGAAGCTTGTCACTCGCCTGCTTCTTATCGAACCCATCCCAGTGGTAATAACCCCCCCTGTGCTACTCAAACCCCCATTTGTACTCCCACCAAACCCTACCCCAAACCCACCAACCCCCCCACTGAACCCCCCTATCGTGCCTCCCGAGCCTCCACCTGACCCCTCGCCCGAGCCATCATCCGGGGGAGCAACGCAGGTTTGGCAGAAGGAGGGGCAGAGAGTGCTACAGAAGAAGTTGGGATAATATTCAGCAGCATTCCTCTTGAGCTGGATCGAGCAGGGTGTGCCGTCTGCGGGACATGTGAGCGTGCTGTCCACTTGTCTGCAAGGGTAAACCAGGGGTGGTGGGTGTTGGGTTATTGAATTTTGAGTCCGAACAGAAGTTGGGATAATAATCTGCAGCCCTCCGCTTGAGCTGGATCGAGCAGGGTGTGCCGTCTGCGGGGCACGTGAGCGTGCTGTCCACTTGTCTGCAAGGGAAGCAGGGGTGGTGGGTGTGGGTTGTTGAATCAAAGCGAGCAGGCAAAATAGTGAAGGGAGGCCCAGCTTGAATTTGCGGCACTATTTTGCCTGGACCCAACTAGTGAAGGGAGGCCCAGCTCATTTCAACCTGGACCCCAACTAGAAAACGGGGTCACTATTTTGCCTGCTCGCTTTAAGAGTCTGGGAAGTCGTTGGTATAATACGCAGCAGCCCTCATCTTGAGCTGGAGCGAGCAGGGTGTGCCGTCTGTCTGTGGGGCAAGTCAGAGTGCTGTCCACTTGTCTGCAAGGGGGTGGTGGGTGTGGGGTTGTTGAATTTAATAGACTGAGAAGAAGTGGGGATGATATGCAGCCGGACACCTCTTGAGCTGGAGCGAGCAGGGTGTGCCGTCTGTCTGTGGGGCAAGTCCGAGTGCTGTCCACTTGTCTGCAAGGGGGTGGTGGGTGTGGGGTTGTTGAATTTAATAGACTGAGAAGAAGTGGGGATGATATGCAGCCGGACACCTCTTCAGCTGGAGCGAGCAGGGTGTGCCGTCTGTCTGTGGGGCAAGTCCGAGTGCTGTCCACTTGTCTGCAAGGGGGTCGTGGGTGTGGGGTTGTTGAATTCAATAGACTGAGAAGAAGTGGGGATGATATGCAGCCGGACACCTATTGAGCTGGAGCGAGCAGGGTGTGCCGTCTGTCTGTGGGGCAAGTCCGAGTGCTGTCCACTTGTCTGCAAGGGGGTGGTGGGTGTGGGGTTGTTGAATTTAATAGACTGAGAAGAAGTGGGGATGATATGCAGCCGGACACCTCTTGAGCTCGAGCGAGCAGGGTGTGCCGTCTGTCTGTGGGGCACGTGAGAGTGATGTTCAGTGTCCACTTGTCTGCAAGGCGAAACCAGGGTTGGTGGGTGTGTGTGTGTGGGGAACGGGGTTTCATGGAATGGGGCCAACCCAACTTCCCAACTCCCAACTCCCAACTTCAAGGAAAGATAACCAGGAAGCTCTCCTGACAAGCTGTTTGCGGAGCAAGAGTGTGAGAGAGTGAGTGCGAGTGTGCAAGACAAGATTGTCAAAGCGAGAGTGCATTAGCTGGGAATGCGGGAGAATGCGACTCACATCTCCGCAGTGTAGTCGCCAAGATAAGCAGGAAGCTCCCCTGACAAGCTGTTCCCAGATAGGGCTCTGATTTTTTCCCGGGAAAACAGCAAGTTGTGCGAGTAACAGGTGAAAAGAGGGGGATGGATCAGACAAAAAAAACACTTTTTCAGGCGCCTAAAAAAAGCTCCTGCCACAATCTGTTCCCAAATAGGCATCCAGCACACATGCAGATGAGTAGAAAGGTATGGGAGCAGCAGGAGAAGAGACAAGGATGGATCATATAGAAGCACTTCGTGTAACAAGATCACAGCTCTTTCTGGATCAGACAGGCTGACTTTCTAGTTTTGAGGCGCCTCAAAACTAGACTTCTCTCACGCGGTTTATATGTAGATAGGATTTTTGTTGCTTGGAAATTGGGGTGTAGCTTATCAAAGCTACTGGTGCGCGCGCGACTCTCGAGTTTGCAAAGTGGCGAAGATGCAGGCCCTGTTACTCACGAAGACACTGTCGAGGAATGAAGACGTGGCTCCTTGAAATTTCCAGGGCAGCCTGGATTGGTCCCCATCTTTTTGGGTTGACCAGGGTGAAAATAGCCTAGGGATTTGTAAATACGGTGGTTAGCCTCTCTTGCTTTGCTTTAGAAGGCTAGCCTCGCTCACTTTCTTTCATTTGGCACTGATGAAGGCTTGCTAGGGGTCTCCCTACAGCCGAAACATGTTTGTCCGTGTTTTAGCCACTGCTTAGTGAAGAGCTCCGACTTTACAGAACCCTACGCGAATCAGCTAGGACTTTACTACTACTGTTTTCTCCTTTGCTAAACCTTCTCCTAAGAAACTGCTGCTCGCTGGGATGTCTGAACATAAGATCACAGCTCTTTCTGGATCAGACAGGCTGACTTTCTGGATCAACAGCAGCAAGTTTTGCAAGTAGCAGGAGAGGAAAGGGGGACGGATCAGTCAAAAGGAGGGAGGGAGGTCATGGCATTGTGAGAGGAAGAAGGTGACTGATTGGTTGTTCCCTGGTATGGCCCTGATGTAAGTTGCGCCAGTGGCAGGGGAGGAGAGGGGGGCGACTCAGCGCGGATATGAGAAAGGCTTCTAATCTATACACCACTGGGACCGGCCGGGTGTGTTTTGACCTGGCTCAGAACACTGATTCCATTTGTACAACAGTGGGACCGGCCGGGTGTGTTTTGACCTGGCTCAAAACACTGATTCTATTTGTACAATACTGGGACCGGCCGGGTGTGTTTTGACCTGGCTCAGAACACTGATTCCATTTGTACAACAGTGGGACCGGCCGGGTGTGTGTTTGACCTGGCTCAAAACACTGATTCCATTTGTACAACAGTGGGACCGGCCGGGTGTGTTTTGACCTGGCTCAGAACACTGATTCCATTTGTACAACAGTGGGACCGGCCGGGTGTGTTTTGACCTGGCTCAAAACACTGATTCTATTTGTACAATACTGGGACCGGCCGGGTGTGTTTTGACCTGGCTCAGAACACTGATTCCATTTGTACAACAGTGGGACCGGCCGGGTGTGTTTTGACCTGGCTCAAAACACTGATTCTATTTGTACAATACTGGGACCGGCCGGGTGTGTTTTGACCTGGCTCAGAACACTGATTCCATTTGTACAACAGTGGGACCGGCCGGGTGTGTTTTGACCTGGCTCAAAACACTGATTCCATTTGTACAACAGTGGGACCGGCCGGGTGTGTTTTGACCTGGCTCAGAACACTGATTCCATTTGTACAACAGTGGGACCGGCCGGGTGTGTTTTGACCTGGCTCAAAACACTGATTCCATTTGTACAACAGTGGGACCGGCCGGGTGTGTTTTGACCTGGCTCAGAACACTGATTCCATTTGTACAACAGTGGGATCGGGTCAGCAATACTGAAGCTAAGGGATGAGTGTTGAGGACACTCAGATGACACACTTGGATGAAACACTTAGATGAAACACTTGGATAAATACTTGGATGAAACACCTGGATGAAACACTCAGATGAAACACTCAGATCAAACACTAAGATGAAATCAGATGAAACACACAGATGAAACACTCAAATGAAACACTCAGATGAAACACTCAGATGAAACACTCAGATGAAACACTCAGATGAAACACTCAGATGAAACACTCAGATGAAACACCCTGTCCCTTGCTTAGAGTACCAACCAATGGGAGTAAATGACCTAGTGCTCAAATCAAACACAGAGTGTCAAATTCCAGTGACCAACGTCGATCACAACTGGTTACCAACGTCGATCACAACTGGCTGTTCACAAAGAGTGTGAAGGAAGCAAGGAAAAACATTGAGGGGAAGAAAAGGATGTTCTTTCTTACAACAAGGATTGGGACCAGTTGAAAGCAGAGGGAGGGATCGGGCCAGAGAGGCTGTTGCGACTCAAGTCACTGACATGACAGGAAACAAGGAACGGGGGAGACCGTTGACGGGTTGATGATACAACTGCAAAGCATCCATCTGTACCGGTACCGGCTAGGATAAATTGCACCGGCTAGGATAAATTGTACCGGCTACGATAAATTGTACCGGCTAGGATAAATTTTACCGGCTTCGTTAAATTGTACCGGCTACGATAAATTGTACCGGCTACGATAAATTGTGCCGGCTACGATAAATTGTACCGGCTACGATAAATTGTACCGGCTACGATAAATTGTACCGGCTAGGATAAACTGTACCGGCTACGATAAATTGTACCGGCAACGTGTCGTGCAATGCTTACATAACATTCTACGATTCTTTAGCCTATATTTTAATCGCCTAAAAAACAGGTTGATACGATACAGCTGCAAAGCATACCATCTGTACTGTACCAGCTAGGATAAAGAGTCCTGACAACGTGTAGTGGCCATCTGTACGGCTAGGATACAGTGTCCTGGCAACTTCACCGGCAAATGTCATTCGAGCGGGACTAAGTGTCCAGGCAACGTGTCGCGAAATGCTTACTTAAATGGCATTCAGCGATTTTTGGCATGCTTACATGGTCGACTCAAAAAGCATGCCATCCGTACTGGCTATTGGCAACGTGTAGATGTGTAGTGTGATGCTTACATCCCATCGCACTCAGAGATGGGACTCACACGTCACTCAGAGATGTGAGGTTTGAAAAGAAAGCAGGCAGCGATCCCGATAGCTGATTCCCAGCAAGATAGCTGCACAGTGTGTGGGGAGAAGAAAAGAGAGCATTTTTTATTCCTTTAGCTGCACAGTGTGTGGGGGGAAGAAAAGAGAGCATTTTTTATTCCTTTAGCTGCACAGTGTGTGGGGGGAAGAAAAGAGAGCATTTTTTATTCCTTTAGCTGCACAGTGTGTGGGGGGAAGAAAAGAGAGCATTTTTTGTTCAGCTGCACAGTGTGTGGGGGGAAGAAAAGAGAGTATGTTTGAGTATTTTTTTAGCTGCACAGTGTGTGTGGGGGGGGGGGGGGAGGGGACTAAAAAAGGAGTGCAGGCAACAATCTCGGCAGCTGATTTCCTGCGAGATAGCTGTAATGGGGAGGAGATCAGGGAGGAGGAGGGGAGGCAGAGGGGAGGATAGAGATGAAAGGAGGGAGAGGGGGGGAGAGGAGAGGAAAGGAGAGTAGAAGAGAGGGGGGGAGAGGAGGGAAAGGAGGGGAGAGGAGGGAGTGGAGGGGAGGGAGTGGAGGGCGGGAAAGCGCGAGAAAGAAAAGCCAAGGGACGCTGAGAGGAGGGGTGGGAGGGAAGAGTGCAAGAAAGGCAAGGAATCATGGTATGGTACGGCATGGTGTGGCATGGCACGGCATGACATGACATGGCTTGGATGACATGGCTTGGATGACATGGCTATGGACAGAAAGTGTCCCTTAACAGTCTGTAGAGGTTCGTGAAGCCTCCTAACGAGGATGGGAGGGATGGCATATGACAATATGGCATGGCATGGCATGGCATGGCATGGCTATACACATATAGTAGTGCCCCTTACAGTCTGTAGAGGTTCGTGAAGCCTCCTAACGAGGATGGAAGGGAGCCGCTGATCTGGTTACCAGCCATGTCACTGGGTGCGGGAAAGAGGAGGGAGGGGAAGGACACGCGGTTGACAGCTTTTGAAGCAACTTCAAAGGAGGGAGAGAGGGAAGGGAGAGGAAGGAAGTCCTTTAACGGGGATGGGCGGGAGCTGCTGATCTGGTTACCAGCCATGTCTTTGGGTGCGTGCGGGGAAGGGAAGGGAGGAAAGGAGGCATACACCACCGATGCAGTGCGGTTGAATCTGAACCAAGAGGAGTGGAGAGGCGACAAGGAGAACAAGCAAGACGTAAGTTTTTTTGGGCGCCTCAAAAGGCATAAGATTCCCCTCTTATAAGAACCGCGAGACATGAGTCGATTGTTGAGGTGCCTCAAAAGTCAATGAGCTGGCAAGTCGGGAGTGAAGTAACTGTGAGAAACTCAAGTGTTGGTTTGATTAGAAAGATCGTGGGTACATATAAGAGATGAGAAGTGGGGGGCCTAGGTTGGGTACCTGCGACATTATTGGTGAGCCAATGGGAGTGGCCACCAATAATGTTTTGGAGGTGGCTGCCAATTATTGGGGGGCCTGGTTCCCCCCGCCAATTGCGGCAGAGTGGGGTTGGGACGCCTCCAACCAGTTGGCCCAAAGTGTACACCCATGTTTGGGTGTTACACTTGCACATTTACAACCCAAATGATGCTATAATCTAACAGTAACGGTGCCCTGTTATCATGCCTAGACACCTGATAACAGGGGCCAACATGCCTACCAATACATAATCCTCACACCACGCTCACATCATCCTCACACCATCGTCGCATTATGCTTACATTAAAGTGAGGGACGAGATGTTAGCGAGGAAACCGGGAAACGAGCCGGAGAGCTGGTTGTAGGGCAAGTTTCTGGGGAGAGGCAGAGAGAGCACCGGGAAAAGAGGCAGTGAGAACATCGGGGAAAGAGGCAGAGAGAGCACCGGGAAAAGAGGCAGAGAGAGCACCGGGAAAAGAGGCAGAGAGAGCACCGGGAAAAGAGGCAGAGAGAGCACCGGGAAAAGAGGCAGAGAGAGCACCGGGAAAAGAGGCAGAGAGAGCACCGGGAAAAGAGGCAGAGAGATCACCGGGAAAAGAGGCAGAGAGAGCACCGGGAAAAGAGGCAGAGAGAGCACTGGGAAAAGAGGCAGAGAGAGCACCGGGAAAAGAGGCAGAGAGAGCACCGGGAAAAGAGGCAGAGAGAGCACCGGGAAAAGAGGCAGAGAGAGCACCGGGAAAAGAGGCAGAGAGAGCACCGGGAAAATGGGAGGAGAGGTTAGCGAGGAAGCTGGAATACGAGCCGGAGTGCTGAGTCGAGGAGAGAGAGAGCAGGAAAGCGAAAAGGCAGAGAGAGATCAGCACTGGAGTGGCGGTTCAGAAGAGAAAGAGCTGATTGAGAGTTAAAGTTGCTGAGGGTAGATAGATAGAAATACGGGGAGAAGGAGTAAGAAGTACTAAAAGGTAAGAACGAGTACGAACTATGAGTAAGCAAATACCTCGCGCTCACTACTACCACGCTTTAAGGGCACCCAATACCTTAATGCTATTATTCATATGCTGCTTTAAACACTTTCAGGTGAAGCTTACATGCTGTCGAGTGCTTGGAGCTTTGTAAGGGAGAGAGGGGAGGGGGTGATGATAGCAGGAGGGAGGGGGTGATGATAGCAGGAGGGAGGGGGTGATGATAGCAGGAGGGAGGGGGTGATGATAGCAGGAGGGAGGGGGTGATGATAGCAGGAGGGGGGAAGGTGATGAGGGAGAAGGTGGAGGGAGGGGGTTGGGGTGGGGTGGGGGCATGGGGCAGTGCGAACAGGGGAAGAGTGGAACGGAGAGTGAGAAAACGCCGCTGAGTCAGGTTTAGGGTTTGAAACAGGGAAAGTTTGCGAATGGACGCACCCGGTTGTTTGAAACAGGAAGCACTGATTGAAGGAAGGAAGGAGAAGAGGAGACCTCAAGAATCGATCTGACATGAGGAAGGAGTTGGGTGGGTGGGTGTGTGTGTTGGATGCTAATTCTACCCCCTATCATAGAGAATAATGATTAAAAAAAACAGAAATGAGCAACTCTACAAAGCGTACAGGATCTTGAGGGACTTGAGGGAGCCCACTGCTGCAGGCAGGCTGCCTGCTATGGGGTTGTACGATAGTTCCCTGGTTGGGCGGTGGGCGGGAGGAGGGGGAAGTAACGAGGGAGAGTGCACTTTGAGAACCCTCAAGAAGGGACTTGAGAGAGCCCATGGCTGCCGGCAGGCTGCCTGATATGGGGTTGTACGATAGCTCCCTGGTTGGGCGGTGGGCGGGAGGAGGGGGAAGTAACGAGGGAGAGTGCATTTTGAGAAACCTCAAGAAGGGACTTGAGAGAGCCCATGGCTGCCGGCAGGCTGCCTGATATGGGGTTGTACGATAGCTCCCTGGTTGGGCGGTGGGCGGGAGGAGGGGGAAGTAACGAGGGAGAGTGCATTTTGAGAAACCTCAAGAAGGGACTTGAGAGAGCCCATGGCTGCCGGCAGGCTGCCTGATATGGGGTTGTACGATAGCTCCCTGGTTGGGCGGTGGGCGGGAGGAGGGGGAAGTAACGCGGGAGAGTGCATTTTGAGAAACCTCAAGAAGGGACTTGAGAGAGCCCATGGCTGCCGGCAGGCTGCCTGATATGGGGTTGTACGATAGCTCCCTGGTTGGGCGGTGGGCGAGTGGGAGGGTGGGAGGGTGGGAGGTTGGGAAGGGGAGGTTGGACAGGAGAAGGGGTGGCGCCTGGAGAGTCCATGGCTGCAGGCAGGCTGCCTGATATGGGGTTGTACGATAGTTCCCTGGTTGGGCGGTGGGAGGGAGGAGGGGAAGGGGGAGGTAAGGAGGGAGAGTGTATCTTGGGACACCTCAAACAGGGACCTTGAGGGAGCCCACTTCTGCCGGCAGGCTGCATGCTATGGGGTTGTACGATAGCTCCCTGGTTGGGCGGCGGGCGAGTGGGAGGGTGGGAGGTTGAGAAGGGGAGGTTGGACAGGAGAAGGGGTGGCGCCTGGAGAGGCTGTTGCTGTTGGCAGGCTGCCTGCTATGGGGTTGTGTGAGAGGCCCCTGGTTGGGTGGGGAAGTGAGAGTCTGTTTCCACGCCTCAGGAGCTAGCTGGCCTGGCTGGATTGGGATGGATGGTAAGGACTATGCTTTGAAAAACCTCAAGAAAAGCACACTGCTGCTTGCCGGTTGCCTCATCCAGGGTCGACCAATTGAAGCGAAGGCCTGGTTCCTGGTTGGGTGGGGAGAGGGTAGGAGGGGGGGGAGGAGGAGGGGGAGCAGGGGGAGGAGGAAGGGGATTATGATGGGGCAAGTGTGGTATTGATACCTGGCCTGCCCCTGAAACCGGTGAATAATAAACAAGGCTCGCAAAAAAGGCGGGGATATGTGTGTGAGGAATGTGAAGAATATGAAGAATGAGTGGAATGAGAGGAATAAGAGGAATGAGAGGAATGAGAGAAAGGGGTATCAAATATGAAGAAAGAGGTATGTGGCTATGCATGCACGCACAAGCACAGCACAGCACCGCACAGCACCGCACAGCAAAGCGCAGCACAGCACAGCTCAGCACAGCACAGCACAGCACCGCACAGCACAGCACGGCACAGCACAGCGCAGCGCAGCACATACAAGAAAACAAGTTTTTTCAGAGAGCCGATGACAGAAGGTATGGTGCCCGTGATGTTGTTGATTCCAAGAGACCTGCGGCATTATCACATCGCATGACAGATCACATCGCGTGCCATGCATAGGTAGGGTTTCATACCATGACACACCATACCATGCCATGCATATGATATGATCTGACCATGCACATGAAATGCAATGCTTTGCAGAAGAGAGGATGCAGAAACACTCGTTCCCAAAGTCGCCTCTTCAGATAACGGCAGGGATACTCATTCCCTCCACTCGAACCCACTCACAAAAGGCGGGAAGGGGCTTACAGGAAATTGAGGCTAGAGAGGCCTGCGATGGCCCAAGGTGACTTTTGAGTACACTCAAAAGTCACTCACAAAAGGCGGGAAGGGGCTTACAGATACACAAGGCTAGTCAGGCCTGAGATGGCCCGCGGGATGGACCCACTGATCTGGTTGACATTGAGAGTCCTGAAGACACAGAGCGTAGGGTGGGAGGGACATAACGAAAAGCACGAGGTTGATTTGAAGAGGCCTGAGATGGCCCGTGGGATGGACCCACGGATCAGGTTGACATTGAGAGTCCTGAACACACAGAGCGTAGGGCAGAGTACAGAGTAGGGGTGATGACATCACAGAACCAAGTTTTGAGGCTTTTGAGACGTCTCAAAAGGGGTGATGACATCACAGAACCAAGTTTTGAGGAGCCTCAAAACTAGGCAGAGTAGAGAGGAGTGACATCACAGAACCACAAGGCTGATTCAAGAGGCCTGAGATGAAGCGAGCGAGACACAGACCCACCCACTAACCTGACTGGCATGGATGGAGTCCTGATCATACATGCAGGCAGAATGGGGGGTTTTGACTATTTTGAATTGACTATTTTGAATCGACTGATTGAACAAAGTTGGGGTGACCTTATATCCCACCCTGGAATACTGGGTTTTCAGGCTACCATGCTGTTACTGTGTCGTTACCACGTGACTTACCAAGTTCCCACTGCACACCAAAGAGCCTGCAAGCTCAGTTAGCCTCTTGAGTTTGGAAATAAAAATTGACCTCTTGCGGTTACCACATGGTTACCACGTGGTTACTAGGTTGCCAACATACACCAAAGGGCAAAGAGCCTCTTGAACTTGGAGATAGAGCTTCCCCACTTGTGGTTACCACATGGTTACCACATGGTTACACCATCTGTGGTCGCCAAAAGTACGGTACGTACAGCTCTGTCAGATAGCCACTTGAACTTGGAGAGAGAGCTTGGGCTTGTGTGGTTACTTACCATGTGGTTACCCGGTTGCCACCAAACACAACAAACACGCCGTAAGCAACGTACAGCTCAGATAGCTTCTTGAGTTTGGAGATAGAGCTTTGCATCCTGTGGTTACCATGTGGTTACCATGTGGTTACCATGTGGTCACCATGTGGTTACCATGTGGTTACCATGTGGTTACCATGTGGTCACCATGTGGTTACCATGTGGTTACCATGTGGCTTACCTGGTCCAGGTTGCCACCGCACAGCACACCAAAGAACCGGGAAGCAACGTACAGCTCAGATAGCTTCTTGAGTTTGGAGATAGAGCTTGGCAGACTCGAGGCGAACGAGTTGAATTCCAGATTGCTGTTGCAACGGGGTTGGTTGAGGAGGTGGTTTGGGAGGGTAGGGGATATGGTGAGGTGAGTGAGGTCGTTGGAAGGAGGGGAAAGTGAAGGAGGGGAAACTGAAGGTGAGAAAGCGAGATGGACTTGGGGTCTCCAGGGGAACGAGTTTGCTTTCACAACTGGTTTGCTCTTTTGAAGAGCGATTTACAGCAGAACACATTGGTAAAGTGAGGAGAGTTACACGAGCAGAGCTGAGGTGAGTCTGAGGGGTGAAGCAAGGTGAAGAAAGGTGGAGAAGGTCTCACGGGCACAAAGAGATGCAGGGGTTTTCACAGCATGAACTGAGGTGAGAGAGAGCATACATTCGCCTCAGTTGAGGCATGGCTGTGAGAGGGGACAGAGAACCCGAGATCTGATTGCGCGATAGATCACTGCGGGCGTGCGATGGGAAGAGATGGGGCGAGAGGCAAAGACAAGTGCTTTTGCTTATTGCTTTTTTTGTTTTGTTTTGTTTTGATTTTGTTTTTGTTTTTGTTTTTGTTTTATTTTGGAGAGCAAGGAGCTCACTCATGCTAGTTAAAAGCTAAGTGGGAATATACGCTCAAACCTGTTTGCGTTTAGCGTATACACGCTAGCGTGTATACGCAAAACGCTAAACGCTATCGAATACGCTATACGCTCGCCAATTGTTTTTTGGGGCAGCCCGGCCAGAAAATTTCAACCTATACGGTTCGCTTCGGAATTGCACGACGAAGACATTGGCGGGGTCAGATGGCACGTCCGCGCTGTGTGCTAGCGTGGACGTGGGTTGAAAGTTCGTGTCGCAAATGGAAAGTCACGTTCGTCGAGTCGCGCCTGCACGTTCCCTCACATTTTGGTGTTCACTATCAGTACCGCATTCAAACCCTTCGCAACCAACACCTCTCCAATTTTTGTTGGCCATCTTCCCACTCCCACAATCAACTCGCCATAAAACAAGCACACCCCCAACATCCAACTCATTAGGTCTTCTCTCGCTACCAGCAGAGCACTAGGCATTCCCTAGCGCATGGTGCCTATGTCGACGAGTACTACCTCTCCTCTAACGCCACCGTCAGTTAACACCGTTGGCAGTTCGCAAACTCTTCTAACCGAGGCACGGGAGTATCTCCCCGACGTTGACCATGCCGTCTTCAAGCACTTCCGCATCATCAAGAGGGTCGAGGGAAAAGCTCAGCAGTACGAGTGCAAGTTCTGCAGCAACGTCTACACTGGTGCTGCCATCCGATGCGCGCAACACTTCACGTCGTGGAAGGGGATGAAACGCCGTGAAGTGGTGCTTTGCAAGGATGCGCCGCAAGATGTGCGCTTGGCCATGCGCGCGAAATACGAGGCAAAGGCTGCTGCGGCCGAAGAGAAGAGGCGGGCAGCAGCTGAAGCGGTTGCCGCGGTCAAGGCTAATGGTGTGAAGCGGGCGCGCATCACCGATTACCTTGATGGGGATGCGGCTGCAAGAAAGAGAGAAGCGGACGAGGCACTTGCGCTTGCTTGGGCCGCCCTCCATATCCCCGAGCGCCACATTGACCATCCTCTGATGGTCAATGCATTGAACCTCGTCAAGCGCGCCGGCGTCGACTACGTCCCTCCCAAGAGGAAATACATCGGCGGTGCTGGCCTTCTCTCGTGTCGCAACGGAATCGAGCAGGGTTTGGTGGGCATTAAGGCGAGCTGGAAGAGGACGGGCGTGACGGTTTCGTCCGACATGATGACGGACCGCAACGGCAGGCCGCAGGCCAACGTGCTTCTCGTAAACGATTCCGGCGCCGTCTTCACCGACTGTATTGACTGCAACATGGAGAGGAAAACCGGAGGTTACGTGGCGGGAATTCTTAGGCCCGTGGTGGAGGAAGTGGGTCCAGAAAACGTTGTTGCGTTCTGCATGGACGGGGGGTCGAACTATGCGGTGGCGGTGAAGCAGCTCTTACAGGAGTGGCCGCACATTCAGGATGTGCCGTGCGCCACTCACGTATTGGATCTTCTCATGGAAGATGTCGGGAAGATGGGATGGGCTAAGCCGGTGGTCGACAAGGGAGGGGAGATATCTAGCTTCGTCCGCAACCACCACTGGACCCGAGGGTACCTGCGGAAGCCGGAATTGGTGGAGGGGAAGGTTCTGCAGGCGCTGAAGCCGGCTGGAACCCGATTCGGGACCAACTACATAGCCATATCTCGGCTATGTGCGATGCGCGGCAGCCTTACCAACATGGTGACGAGCGAGGGTTGGAAAGAGTGGGCGGTAGGGGACCGGAAGAAATCGTGTGACGGGTTCAGTGCGCTGATCCATGATGCCGCCTGGTGGAAGACGGCCGAGTTCTTCGTCGCACTGCTGAAGCTGCCCTTTAAGGTGATGAGGCAGACGGACGGGCATGCCGTGGGGATGATGGGGAGGCTGTACGATTTGATGCTGCAGTTGACTGAGGACGTGGGGGGCTTGCTCGATGCGGACGAGGAGCAGCTGAGCGACGGGGACAAGGACAAGATCCGCCGCATCCTCAGAGACCGCTGGGACGGCAGCCTCGCATGCGCCATGCATGTCGCTGGCCGCATCCTCAACCCCGCGAATCAGGAGGAAGAAATTTTCGGCACTGATCCCGAGTGCACGAAAGTCTTCAAGGCGTTCATCAGCCAGCAGGCCGAGTTCCTTGCGAGCTGCGAGGATGGGGGGGATGACGCGTGCGACATCTTGCTTGAGCTGGGGGACGGGCTGAGGGCGTTCCTTGACATGAAGGGTTCTTTTGGGATGCCGGAAGCCGTGGCACAGAGGAAGCTGGTGAAAGAGGGAAAGTATAGCATGGTGAAGTGGTGGCAGTGGAATGGGACTGATGCCCCTCGAGTGGCGGGGCTCGCGGTACGGGTGCTGTCTCAGGCCGTGTCAGCCTCACCTTGTGAGCGTGGATGGTCCTCGTGGGATGCCGTTCACACCGCACGTCGCAACAGGCTCGGATCCGCCAAGTGCAGGGACTTGGTCTATGTTGCGCACAACTGGAATGTTGTGCGCAACTGGCACACGCGCGTTGATGTCTTGCCACATGTGGTGCCCGGGATTGGAGCGGAGCCTCCAATCCCGGCGGGATACAATGGGCTGGAAGACGAGACGAAGGGAGAGGATGAGGAGGAAGGCGAAGACGACATCCTCGAAGACGAGTACGCTAACTAGAGGGGGCAAATGTGGCTTGCTGTGGGCGGCTAGTCCTAAGGAGTAGTAGTACGTAGCTTGTCTTAGAGAGAAGTGATGGTCGTGATGGAGTAGTGATGATTGTAGTGATGGTAAGTGATGATGGTAAGTGATGATAGTAGTGATGATAGTGATGATAGTAGTGATGACAGTAGTTATGTGTAGGCCGTGGTATATGTGTAATGTGGAAAAAAAAAATCTCTGAAACTTCAGGCCCCATACCCCACCCCCATACCCCCCCCCCCCCCCCCCCCCCCCCGGGCCTTTTTTTGACCCTGCCCGGGAAGTTTTTTTTCTGCCCGAAAAAGCGTATTTCCAAACCCGTCCCTACAGCGTATAGCGTATATAAGAGTGCGTATATACCATAAGCGTATATACGCAATAAGCGTATATTCCCACTAAGGTTAAAAGGAGAGCAGTGCGCAGACACTTGATCTAAACAAACAGGAATGCTATGCATTCCTTTCTATGTTCACTAATGCGCGAGCGACTGCAATGCAACCTGATTGACATGTAACTGGCAGTCAACACAAGCCAAGCCGCTACACACAGTGTTCTGGAGCTTGGAGAGGTGGCAAGAAGGGGGGGGAAGGGAGGTGGGAGCTTGGAACTGGCAGTCAACACAAGCCAAGCCGCTACACACAGTGTTCTGGAGCTTGGAGAGGTGGCAAGAAGGGGGGGGAAGGGAGGTGGGAGCTTGGAACTCGCAGTCAACACAAGCCAAGCGCTACACACAGTGTAACGAGCTTTTGAAGCTTAGAGAGTTTAGCCGGAACGGCTTTTGAGACGTCTCATAAACCAGGACACAGCAAGCGCTACCCACAGTCTGACGAGCTTTTGAAGCTTGGAGAGTTTAGCCGGAATAGTGGAAGTGAACTTGTTGGACCCGAGTGACCTGCGGGGAGAACGGGGGGGTGCAGGGTGGGGGGGGAGGTGGAGAAGAAGGGGGGGAGGGAGGTGGGGGAGGGGAGGTGGGGAAGTACGGGGAAAGGGAGGTGGAAACTTGGAGACCTTAGCAGGAATGGAGGAGGAGAGCTGGTTGGGCCCAAACCCCTGGGGGAGAGGTGGCGAGGAGGGGGAAAAGGGAGGTGGGAACTTGGAGATTTTAGTTGGAATGGAAGAGGAGAGCTGGTTAGAACCGAGCAATTTGGGGGCGGGGGGAGAATGGGGGGAGGGAGGGAGGTGGGATGGGGAAGGGAAGAAGGCAGAGTGGGGGGAACATGGTGTTGCACACGATAATGATCTGGGTGGCATGCAAGGAGTGGGCGGCGCGGCACGCAAGCGTGGGGTGGGTGGCAGGCAAGAGTCTAGCAGAGGCAAAGTCATAGGCAAACCCAGAGGCAAAGTCATAGGGTGAACTGGTTAGCAGAACAGGATGGAGAGGCGAAGAAAGGGGGGAAGGGAGGGTGATGGGTAAAAGGTGGGGGGAGGGGAGAGGGTAGGGGAGGGGCAGCACCACAGGTGCACGAGAGGGGGAGTAAGTGAGAGAGAAGATAGTACACCGTAGCGACTGTGTGGTGTGGTGTGGTGTGGTGTGGTGTGGTGTGGTGTGGTGTGGTGTGGTGTGGTGTGGTGTGGTGTGGTGTGGTGTGTTGTGAAGGTGTATAGAGGAACGAGTGAGGGCTTGCAGGTATGTGAGGGCAGTCGGTTTAGAGGCGCCTCGAAACCAGACTCAGCGTAACAACTTAGTGCTGCGGTGTGGAGGTATAGAGAAAAGGACAGGAGGAAAGGAAGTGAGGGAGGGTGTACAGGTGTGTGAGAGCAGTGAGTGCAGAGAGGAAGGGGGGAATGTCACCCTCCAAGTTGTTGTTAGTTAGGGCCCTGTGAGGAAACAGGGAAACGGGTGAACGGGGGAACGGGGGAACGGGTGATGGGCAAAGAAAAGGCAACTAAGCAAGAAGAGGAGAGGAAGGGGGAAATGTCACCTTCCATGTTGTTGCTAAACCCTAAACCCGTGCGACCAAGGTGGGGTGGATGGAGGGCAATAGGCAAGTGAGCAACGGGAAAGTGGGCGTATGGGCCAAGGGGGATTTGAGTTTTGAGGCGCCTCATAACTCAACGCAACGGGGAAGTGGGCGTATGGGCAAAGGGGGACACATAAGCAAGGAGAGGAGAGCAAGAGAGGAATGGGCAATGACGGGTGGATGGGCAACACACACACACACACACGCACAGACACACACACACACACACACGCACACACACACAAACGCACACACACACACGCACACACACACACGCACGCACGCACGCACACACACACACCCACCCCCCCCCCCCCCCCCCCCCCCCCCCCCCCCCCCCCCCCCCCCCCCCCCCCCCATACTCACAAATGCATGCATGCACGCATGGAATAGTGTCACCCCATACAAATGCTGCACTCTCTAAGTAGGCTGAAAGAGGAAGGGATAGAAACACAATATGCATGCACAACCCCCCACCCCCACGCCCGCCTACCAATCCACCAACACCACCCCCCCTCTCACTCACACACACACAAACAATGCACAACGATGCATGCATGGAATGGTGATAGTGCGTACAGCCGGGCGAAGGAGGATGAAAGGAGGGACATACACACATATGCACGCATGGAATGGTGATAGTGCGTGCAGATGCTGCAGCTTCTTAAGCCGGGCGAAGGAGGATGAAAGGATGGACATACAAACACATATGCACGCATGCACGCATGCATTCATGGATGGAATGGTGATAGTGCGTACAGCCGGGCGAAGGAGGATGGAAGGATGGACATACACACATATGCATGCACGAATGGAATGGTAATAGTGCGTACAGATGCCGTAGCTTCTTAAGCCGGGCGAAGGAGGAAGGAATGGCTCCGCCACTGACGGCTGTGACCATGCTACTGGGGTGTGTGATGGAGGGAGGGAGTGTCACAGGTGTGATGGAGGGAGGGAGTGTCACAGGTGTGATGGAGGGAGGGAGGACAGGTGTGATGGAGGGAGGGAGGGAGGACAGGTGTGATGGAGGGAGGGAGGACAGGACAGGTGACTTTTGAGGCACCTCAACAGGAGAAAGGGATGGCTCCGCCACTGACGGCTGTGACCAAGCTACTACTGGGATGTGTGAGAGAGAGGGAAGGGTGAGAGAGAGAGAGGGAAGGTGGGATGAAGGGCGGGTAGGTGGGGAGGGAAGGTGGTGTGATGGAGGGAGGGAAAGAGGGAAGAGACAGGCATGTTCCTACGTGAAGGAAATTTGACTGACAAAGAGTGAGGGAAATGTGAAGTGAGGAAGGGAGGAAGGTTGAATGGCAAGTGAGTGAGAAAAGTGAGGGAGGGAAGAAAAGAGTGAATGACAGAAGAATCAGGGAAGTGAGAAAAATGAGTGAGGGGAGAGGGTTGACTGACAGGCGGGTGAGGGAAGTGAGAAAATCGATGAGTAAAGAAGGTTGAATGGGAGCAGGTGATGGGGCAAGGGAGGGAGGGGGGAGCAAGTGACAGAGCAAGGAAGGGAGGCGGGAGCAAGAGATGGGGCAAGGGGGGGAGCATGACTGACAGGCGGGTGAGGGAAGTGACAGAGGGAGGTAGCAACTGAGGGAGGTAAAAAGGTTCACTGACAGGCGGGTGAGGGAAGTGACAGAGGGAGGTAGGAACTGAGGGAGGTAAGAAAGTTCACTGACAGGCGGGTGAGGGAAGTGACAGAGGGAGGTAGGAACTGAGGGAGGTAAGAAGGTTCACTGACAGGCGGGTGAGGGAAGTGACAGAGGGAGGTATGAACTGAGGGAGGTAAGAAGGTTCACTGACAGGCGGGTGAGGGAAGTGACAGAGGGAGGTAGGAACTGAGGGAGGTAAGAAAGTTCACTGACAGGCGGGTGAGGGAAGTGACAGAGGGAGGTAGGAACTGAGGGAGGTAAGAAGGTTCACTGACAGGCGGGTGAGGGAAGTGACAGAGGGAGGTAGGAACTGAGGGAGGTAAGAAGGTTCACTGACAGGCGGGTGAGGGAAGTGACAGAGGGAGGTATGAACTGAGGGAGGTAAGAAGGTTCACTGACAGGCGGGTGAGGGAAGTGACAGAGGGAGGTAGGAACTGAGGGAGGTAAGAAGGTTCACTGACAGGCGGGTGAGGGAAGTGACAGAGGGAGGTAGGAACTGAGGGAGGTAAGAAGGTTCACTGACAGGCGGGTGAGGGAAGTGACAGAGGGAGGTATGAACTGAGGGAGGTAAGAAGGTTCACTGACAGGCGGGTGAGGGAAGTGACAGAGGGAGGTAGGAACTGAGGGAGGTAAGAAGGTTCACTGACAGGCGGGTGAGGGAAGTGACAGAGGGAGGTAGGAACTGAGGGAGGTAAGAAGGTTCACTGACAGGCGGGTGAGGGAAGTGACAGAGGGAGGTAGGAACTGAGGGAGGTAAGAAGGTTCACTGACAGGCGGGTGAGGGAAGTGACAGAGGGAGGTATGAACTGAGGGAGGTAAGAAGGTTCACTGACAGGCGGGTGAGGGAAGTGACAGAGGGAGGTAGGAACTGAGGGAGGTAAGAAGGTTCACTGACAGGCGGGTGAGGGAAGTGACAGAGGGAGGTAGGAACTGAGGGAGGTAAGAAGGTTCACTGACAGGCGGGTGAGGGAAGTGACAGAGGGAGGTATGAACTGAGGGAGGTAAGAAGGTTCACTGACAGGCGGGTGAGGGAAGTGACAGAGGGAGGTATGAACTGAGGGAGGTAAGAAGGTTCACTGACAGGCGGGTGAGGGAAGTGACAGAGGGAGGTAGGAACTGAGGGAGGTAAGAAGGTTCACTGACAGGCGGGTGAGGGAAGTGACAGAGGGAGGTAGGAACTGAGGGAGGTAAGAAGGTTCACTGACAGGCGGGTGAGGGAAGTGACAGAGGGAGGTATGAACTGAGGGAGGTAAGAAGGTTCACTGACAGGCGGGTGAGGGAAGTGACAGAGGGAGGTAGGAACTGAGGGAGGTAAGAAGGTTCACTGACAGGCGGGTGAGGGAAGTGACAGAGGGAGGTAGGAACTGAGGGAGGTAAGAAGGTTCACTGACAGGCGGGTGAGGGAAGTGACAGAGGGAGGTATGAACTGAGGGAGGTAAGAAGGTTCACTGACAGGCGGGTGAGGGAAGTGACAGAGGGAGGTAGGAACTGAGGGAGGTAAGAAGGTTCACTGACAGGCGGGTGAGGGAAGTGACAGAGGGAGGTAGGAACTGAGGGAGGTAAGAAGGTTCACTGACAGGCGGGTGAGGGAAGTGACAGAGGGAGGTAGGAACTGAGGGAGGTAAGAAGGTTCACTGACAGGCGGGTGAGGGAAGTGACAGAGGGAGGTAGGAACTGAGGGAGGTAAGAAGGTTCACTGACAGGCGGGTGAGGGAAGTGACAGAGGGAGGTAGGAACTGAGGGAGGTAAGAAGGTTCACTGACAGGCGGGTGAGGGAAGTGACAGAGGGAGGTAGGAACTGAGGGAGGTAAGAAGGTTCACTGACAGGCGGGTGAGGGAAGTGACAGAGGGAGGTAGGAACTGAGGGAGGTAAGAAGGTTCACTGACAGGCGGGTGAGGGAAGTGACAGAGGGAGGTAGGAACTGAGGGAGGTAAGAAGGTTCACTGACAGGCGGGTGAGGGAAGTGACAGAGGGAGGTAGGAACTGAGGGAGGTAAGAAGGTTCACTGACAGGCGGGTGAGGGAAGTGACAGAGGGAGGTAGGAACTGAGGGAGGTAAGAAGGTTCACTGACAGGCGGGTGAGGGAAGTGACAGAGGGAGGTAGGAACTGAGGGAGGTAAGAAGGTTCACTGACAGGCGGGTGAGGGAAGTGACAGAGGGAGGTAGGAACTGAGGGAGGTAAGAAGGTTCACTGACAGGCGGGTGAGGGAAGTGACAGAGGGAGGTAGGAACTGAGGGAGGTAAGAAGGTTCACTGACAGGCGGGTGAGGGAAGTGACAGAGGGAGGTAGGAACTGAGGGAGGTAAGAAGGTTCACTGACAGGCGGGTGAGGGAAGTGACAGAGGGAGGTAGGAACTGAGGGAGGTAAGAAGGTTCACTGACAGGCGGGTGAGGGAAGTGACAGAGGGAGGTAGGAACTGAGGGAGGTAAGAAGGTTCACTGACAGGCGGGTGAGGGAAGTGACAGAGGGAGGTAGGAACTGAGGGAGGTAAGAAGGTTCACTGACAGGCGGGTGAGGGAAGTGACAGAGGGAGGTAGGAACTGAGGGAGGTAAGAAGGTTCACTGACAGGCGGGTGAGGGAAGTGACAGAGGGAGGTAGGAACTGAGGGAGGTAAGAAGGTTCACTGACAGGCGGGTGAGGGAAGTGACAGAGGGAGGTATGAACTGAGGGAGGTAAGAAGGTTCACTGACAGGCGGGTGAGGGAAGTGACAGAGGGAGGTAGGAACTGAGGGAGGTAAGAAGGTTCACTGACAGGCGGGTGAGGGAAGTGACAGAGGGAGGTAGGAACTGAGGGAGGTAAGAAGGTTCACTGACAGGCGGGTGAGGGAAGTGACAGAGGGAGGTATGAACTGAGGGAGGTAAGAAGGTTCACTGACAGGCGGGTGAGGGAAGTGACAGAGGGAGGTAGGAACTGAGGGAGGTAAGAAGGTTCACTGACAGGCGGGTGAGGGAAGTGACAGAGGGAGGTAGGAACTGAGGGAGGTAAGAAGGTTCACTGACAGGCGGGTGAGGGAAGTGACAGAGGGAGGTATGAACTGAGGGAGGTAAGAAGGTTCACTGACAGGCGGGTGAGGGAAGTGACAGAGGGAGGTAGGAACTGAGGGAGGTAAGAAGGTTCACTGACAGGCGGGTGAGGGAAGTGACAGAGGGAGGTATGAACTGAGGGAGGTAAGAAGGTTCACTGACAGGCGGGTGAGGGAAGTGACAGAGGGAGGTATGAACTGAGGGAGGTAAGAAGGTTCACTGACAGGCGGGTGAGGGAAGTGACAGAGGGAGGTAGGAACTGAGGGAGGTAAGAAGGTTCACTGACAGGCGGGTGAGGGAAGTGACAGAGGGAGGTATGAACTGAGGGAGGTAAGAAGGTTCACTGACAGGCGGGTGAGGGAAGTGACAGAGGGAGGTAGGAACTGAGGGAGGTAAGAAGGTTCACTGACAGGCGGGTGAGGGAAGTGACAGAGGGAGGTAGGAACTGAGGGAGGTAAGAAGGTTCACTGACAGGCGGGTGAGGGAAGTGACAGAGGGAGGTAGGAACTGAGGGAGGTAAGAAGGTTCACTGACAGGCGGGTGAGGGAAGTGACAGAGGGAGGTAGGAACTGAGGGAGGTAAGAAGGTTCACTGACAGGCGGGTGAGGGAAGTGACAGAGGGAGGTAGGAACTGAGGGAGGTAAGAAGGTTCACTGACAGGCGGGTGAGGGAAGTGACAGAGGGAGGTAGGAACTGAGGGAGGTAAGAAGGTTCACTGACAGGCGGGTGAGGGAAGTGACAGAGGGAGGTAGGAACTGAGGGAGGTAAGAAGGTTCACTGACAGGCGGGTGAGGGAAGTGACAGAGGGAGGTAGGAACTGAGGGAGGTAAGAAGGTTCACTGACAGGCGGGTGAGGGAAGTGACAGAGGGAGGTAGGAACTGAGGGAGGTAAGAAGGTTCACTGACAGGCGGGTGAGGGAAGTGACAGAGGGAGGTAGGAACTGAGGGAGGTAAGAAGGTTCACTGACAGGCGGGTGAGGGAAGTGACAGAGGGAGGTAGGAACTGAGGGAGGTAAGAAGGTTCACTGACAGGCGGGTGAGGGAAGTGACAGAGGGAGGTAGGAACTGAGGGAGGTAAGAAGGTTCACTGACAGGCGGGTGAGGGAAGTGACAGAGGGAGGTATGAACTGAGGGAGGTAAGAAGGTTCACTGACAGGCGGGTGAGGGAAGTGACAGAGGGAGGTAGGAACTGAGGGAGGTAAGAAGGTTCACTGACAGGCGGGTGA